ATGCAATGCATCGTTGATTCCTTGACGACTGCTTCCGTAAGTGTTCATCATGGATCCCAGTAAAATTAAATCCTTGACAATGTCAATCTTTTCTCCACTTATCGTGCTGTTGCTTATTAGTGTAGTTGTAAGGATTGTTTTTATTCTTTGTTAAATTATAATCCATACTGAAAGGGATGTAGTCTTTGATCTGTATCAGTAAATACTTCAATTCTTCACTTTCAACAAGCAAGGTTGTATCATCTGTATACTGCAGATTGTTAATGAGTCTTCCTCCAATCCTCATGTTACTTTCTTCTTCATGTAGTCAAGCTCCCTGGATTATTTGCTCAGCCTAGAGATTGATTAACTGTGGTGAAAGGAAGGATACAACCTTGATATACACCTTTTCTGATTTAAACCATACAATATCCCCTTGTTCTGTTTGAACAACTGCCTCTTGGTCTATGTACAGGTTCCATATGAGCACAGTTAAGTTTATTGCAATTTCCATTCTTCCCAAAGTTCCTTGTGATTTGTTATGATAAACACAATCAAATGTTTTTATATAGTCAATTAAAGCACAAAAAAAACCTTTCTGATTTCTTAAGGTACTGAATTTACTTGTGGTTATGAAATGCCAGTTTTTTGTTATTTCATAATTGTACATTACCTTTTCTTTGTAATATAATATACTCTCAATATATACATGGCAAGCTAATAGAACGGAATGGAGTGACTTTATTTCATTTCTAACCAAATTCATAATAGTTAATACCTTAATGTTCAGGAAATTTAATCTCTGATTAATTTAGGAGCTAAAGTATTGGCTTGTGGTCTGATAAATTGATCATAGTTTATTTCAAGGGACTGTTAATTGAAGTACTAGTATGGTTCTGTAGCATAAGTACTCAACTGCTAACCACAAGGTCACTATGAGTTAGAACCAACTTGACATCATGTAACAACATTAGTTGTTCCTTGGTTATTTGAATTTGAATTTGAATTTTTTAGTAATCATGTATTATATAATTTAAAATGTAAAATTGTTGTGTAATAAATATCTTCATCACAATAAGGAAAATGTAATGAACAAAATGGAAACTTTGATAACTGAAGATCCCATGATTGCTATTCTGAAATAGAACTATTTATTATATAGTCTCTGGATTGTGAGCTTCTTGAGGACAGGCTATATAACCATCTACCATGTTTTTACACAAATATCACATGTGTTGTATGGTGTTTGTTGTTTTTGAAAGCCTCATAACTCCTTTGCACATTGGTTTACTATGCACACTGTGTGCACTATTTGTAAGTTATGCAAAAATATTGCATATCTATACCTATACTAGAGTCCTGGTGTAGCACTGTAGGATAATGCACTGGACAACAAGGTCAGTTTGAACCACAAGGTCGGCAGTTCAAACCCACTAATCACTCCTCAGAAACCCTATGAGTTAGATCCTACTGGACAGCAATTAACAACAACAACATGTCTGTATCTCTGTGTATACTGCTTAGCAGAAAGCTTAACCCACAAATGTTTGGATTATAATTTAACAAAAAATAAAAACAAAGAATGTAAAGGAATGAGGATGAATGATATACAAACCACAAAAAGTTCATTCAGGGTCATTTAATTTTTTACAGTGTTAGTGCATTTGGGAACAAAAATAAAAACGTTAGGCTCACAAGCTTTTCTTTCTTTCTTTTTAGCAACTTTATTGAAGTATATTTTATATGTAATAAAGTTCACCTATTTAGAGTGCTGGCATGGCGCCATAGGATAAGCACTGTCTCTCAGTCATATACAGGGTTGTTATAAATAATACCTGACTCGATGGCACTTAATAACAACATTTCAAGTGTACAAGTCAATGATTTTTAGTAATTTTATCAAGTGGTAACAACATCATGATAAACAGAAAAGACTGAAGTTGTCAAGGATTTCATTTTACTTGGATCCACAATCAATACCTATAAAAGCAGCAGTCAAGAAAATGAATCAACATTATTACTGAGACTTTATCACATGGTGCTGTGTGTGTGTGTGTGTGTGTGTGTGTATGAATATGTTATTCCCTAGAGTCCTGGTATGGCATGGTTAATGTGCTGGAACCACAGTGGTTCAAGCTCCACAGCTGCTCCTTGGAAACCCTATACAGGGTTGCTATGAGCAGAACAACAAGGGCTAGACATCACTTCCTCTCTCCTCCTGCTTCCCACATTTCCCTCCTTCTCTCTCTCCCCTGCCCAATACACACATACATTGCTTTCTCTCCTAGTGTTCCTGGATAGTCTTGTTTATTTTTCCACATGAACTTTAGAATCAGCCTGCCTGATTTCAGGAGGAAGAAGAAGTGTTGTAAATTTTATTGGAGTAACTAATATGAGGTTGGGTCTTATTATCTTTGAACATGATTTGCCTTTATATTCATTCAAGATACTTATGTAATTGTGTTTTAACATTGTTTTCATACCAGTTTTGCACATTTCTAAGTTTATTCCCAGATTTTAACTTTTTTTTGGTAAATATAATGGGGAAAATACCTCATTTATAATATTTTAGTAAATAGAAGAAAAGAACCCATTTATAATATTTTCTGATTTGCTTTATGAAAATTATTAATAATACATTATATTAATTATAAATTAATATTATACACTGTTGACTTACTGAATTGTCTTCTTTGCCGTAGGGTGGCTTGGGTTTTGGGGTTTTTCAATATTTTATTTTTCCCAGATACATGTTTATATTGCCTTCAAATAGTGATGAACTCCTTTTTAATTTGTATACGTCTATGTTGTTCTGTCTCTTCCATTACCTAGAAAGTGGCAGTGGGAGTATGGGCATCTCTGTCTTATTTCTGACTTTAGTGGGAAAGGTTCATGTATTTCCCCCATAAAGGATTAGCTGGCTTTGGGGCATATACACAAGCACACATACACAAATATACACTTATGTCGAAGAAATACACGTTTGTTTCTATTTCACTCAGGGCTCCCCACCCCAATCAGGAATAGGTGTTGAATTCTGTCAAGTGTCTCCTTTGTATATATGAAGAGATTTAATGGTTTTTATCTAGTTTGTTTAAAGACATTTTAAAATACATTCTCAGAGTTTAAATCAAATATGTTATTATTTCTATCTAATACTCAGAAGTTTTTTTTTATAAGTTTAAATAACTTGTTTCTCTCATTTGACTTTTATGATGATTTTTTTTTTTTTTTAATGAAACAAACAGTTGTCATCAAGTAATTTCCCACTCATGGAAACTCCATGTATTTCGAAGTAAAACTGCTCCATAGGTTTTTCTGTGTGTGTTTTTTTTTTTTTTCAAAAAACAGTTTGTGAATTGAATGAAGGTTTACAGACAAGATCATCAGTTTTACATTCAGCAAATCATACACTGTTTCAACCCAATGATTGCAATCCCCTCCTTGCAGCCACAGTTATCCCACTTCCTGCCTGTGGTTCTAATTTCCATTCTGCCCACCTTCCCATCCCTTCTCAACTTTGTTCTTAGATAAATGTTACCTTTTTTATTTCAAATTATTGGCCATTCCATGGTGAGCAACCTTACTAGTGTTGCTGTCTCTCCATCACCAGTATACCTACCTGCTGCTTGGCAGAAAACTGAGCCACAAGAGTGAGCTCCTTTCCAGACCTGAAGGGTGGTCGAGGGCCATATTCTCGGGTTCTTGCAGTCTCTGGAGAGGTTGTAACACGTAATATTCTTGTTGTTGTTGTTGTTGTTATGTGCTGTGGAGTCAGTTCCAACTCATAGAGACCCTGTACAGGGTTTCTTAGACTGTAAATCTTTACGGGAGCAGAAAGCCTCATCTTTCTCCCAAGGAACAGCTGGTAGTTTCGAACTGCTGACTCTGAGGTTCACAGCCCGATTCGTAACCATTATGCTACCAGAGCTCCTTAATTAATCCTCTGGATGCATTCTAGCTAATTTAAGATTTCAAAGAAGCACCATAAAATGACCATTGTTTTCTGTTTGCTCCATCATTCTTTTCCTCAGAGACTCATTAGACCATTAACTGCCCAGGTAACCACTAGCTCCTTGTGGTTATTGAACCTAGTGTGACTAGTGGTATGTGGAAAGTGTAAAATACACACTGATTTTGAAAACTTCACTGTCTTTATATTGATTATATATGTTGATAATACTCTGGATATATTGGAATAACTAACATTTTATTGGAGTCCTGTTATGGCACTATAGGATAAGCACTGGACTGTTGACTCCAAGGTTGGTGGTTCAAACCCACCAGCCTGTCCTTGGAAACCCTATACAATAACAAGTTATTGGTTTTCACTTTTTCAGTGTGACTACTAGAAAATTTTTAATTGCATACATGGCTTACATTATATTTCTGTTGGACCGCACTAGGCTAGAGGCACAGATGTATATATCATCTATGATGATATTCATAATTTTAAAAAAGGAACTCACACTGCAATTACAGTCTCTCTTATTCACCTCATTTCTTCATATGGGAACAAACCTTGATCAATAATATAATCTAATAATGGGTTGCCTCCTCTCTGATTTTTCTAGAATTTTTTGTTTGATTATAATGTTAAGGGAATAATAACTATTCCCATAACATTCTCACATAAGTTAAAGATGATATGTTTCTTGTGTTCTGGAGTGCCAGTATTGAAGAAGGGGTATGAATATAGAAAGCAGTTAGTTTAGAGGTCCAAGTTTTCTACTGTTGTCTTATTCTTTAGAATATTATTTTAATAAAGGTTCTGTAGCTTAAAACTTAAAATTTGCTTCAGCATTATTTTTGTTTTTCCATTACCCTATGAAACAAACAAAAAAGACCCCTCCTCCTAGTTCTCTCTTGGTAGGCCTAAGGTTCAACCTCTGTTAGTTCTATCTTATTGCAACAGCTAAGTGTTTTTCTTATGTTAAGCTCATTTCTTAACTTTTCTGTTTTTAAAAAATAGAAACACATTACTCTCAAGCCCTCTTATTTTGTTTTTGTTGCATTTTTAGGAAAATTATATCACAGATGATATTGGAATATCAACTTGGAAGGAGCAGACTTTTCTCTCCCATGGTGCCTTACTAGCAAAGAGTTGCCAAGCTGCCATGGAATTAGCAAAGCATGATGCTGAGGTCCAGGATATGGCATTTCAGTATGGGAAACACTTGGCTCTGAGTCATAAGGTATTTGCTTACCCTCTCTTTTTCCAGTACTTCAGTAGCTAAAACAATACATGAGAAACCTTTTAATAAATTGCTTTTATAGCTCAAAAGTTTATTGTGTGCTTAAAATCTGTCACAGGTGATGATTGTTGCTGAATATAAACTGTATGATGGGTGATTTTTATATAATTTTGATAGAAATCTGCAACATACTTAAATATTATTTGCAGTGTTTTTACTTAACAACAACAACAACAAATCTTTTATTACCTACTTGAAAAGGTTCTTGAGAAAACTCTTGGAAATTATTAAATAATATGTAATGTTACCACTCACCAAATAGAAGCATATTTGCATTTTTGTTACAAGTTCCTTATAGTTACTTAGGTAAAACAAAGTATGGACAGTTAATGAAATTTAGAAATATTCTAAATAAAATGGAAAGCTTTTATTCTAATAACTGATTCTTTTGAATGAGCATGATGAAATATAAACTGTCTGAAAATCGACTGTTACGTTATTGTCTCTAAATATATGTAATTTTAAAATGTCACTGAATATGTTTCTCAAATGTTACGGGATTCGTAACAGGGGATACACATACATACAATGCCACCAAATGAGATTTTTGCATATTTTCAAAATCTTGAGACTGTTATATTTATTAAATCTTTATCAAAGTCCTTACTTTTAACTTAAAAATTTGAATAAAGACTATTGCCAAATAAAAAAAGGAAAAGGTTAGGGGAAACTATTTTAAAGAATGTTGAAGGTTATTATTAATCATCTGAAATGTTCTTTTGCTTATTAAAGTATAACTAAAAACTGCATTCCTTAAGTCTCCTTTTTAACCATGTTAACTGGTGTTTTCTGAATGTAACCAACACATACCGATATATATGCATTGCACTGACTTAACTCCTTTGACTGCTCTTTCTAGATAAATTCTGACCTCCAGCCTTTCATTAAAGAAAAGACAAGTGATTCTGTGACTTTTAATCTAAATTCAGCTCCCGTAGTCTTACATCAGGAGTTTCTTGGAAGAGATTTGTGGATTAAGCAGATCCGAGAGGTAAAAAGAAATTATTCCTATTTTAAGGGATCAGATGTATGTATTTTAGAACATAATTCATATATCATCATGATGATTTAAGGCTAGAATGCAGACATATAAGAGTATATACTTGTAACAGGTAAATTTCTTCCTTTAAGAAATCTACATTTCTAAGCAGTAAGGCATTCGTTTAAAAATTTGAAGCGGTGATACTATGTTTTCTTATTTTTTTATTATCTAAGTTTTTAAAATACTGCAGCACAAGACTAGTGCCTGTGGTGAATGCTAATTAACTCGGATAATTTTTTTTTTTCTCCTAAAGACTCCAAAACTTGGGCTATGGTAACTGCACCACCCTTTAACTGTTACTGATTTCCCATCTGTAGACTCTAGCACACATTGCAGAATTCTAGGAGCTCCGTCTGTCAACTCATTGGGTTACTTTAAAACAAACTTGGACCTTAAATGAGTTCTGAGGCATTATCAAAGCAAGAACTTATGATGAAGTGCGAGGGAGAAATGGACTTAAATTGAGCGCCAATTTCCCACTTTTTGTACTGCTTTGTTGTTTGTTTGTTTGTTTGTTTGTTTGCTTTTTTGAAGAAGTGGAAGATGGGAAGGATTTTGTTTAGTTTAGTTTTGTTTTCATCCAGCAACTCTAGTGCAAAAAGTTCTTACCCTTTTATCTGAAGCCTTTTGATATTTATTTACCTTCATGGTTCTAACTGACTAGGTAGACCTGAGGCACTGGGCATTGGGAACCTGGCACTGATGAGGGTGGTAGCAGCCACCTTACTCAAAAAATAGGGGATAAGTGAAAGTGAATCTTTGTATCCTGAAAGATAAGATTTCTCCTCCCCAGTCCTCATCCCCTATCGGCTCCCAAATGCTGGCACCCAGCTTAACATCCCTTATATTTACCACAGGGAATGTGGTGGCCCCATAGGAAAAATACTGGACTGGGAGCCACAAAGTCGGCCCACTTGCCACACAATTGGAGAAAGACAAAGTTTTCTGTTCCCACAAAGATTTCTTTTTTTAAAGTCTCAGAAACTCTATACAGGGTCGCCATGAGTAGGAACCAATATGATGACATTTAACAACATATTCACCACATAGAAAACTGTCAAACCTAGTAAAAGAAAAGACCACCCCAGATGTGGAGATTTGGGGCTCACTCAATAAACATACTATGTCCCTGACCGGTCCTTCTACAGTGAAACCCACCAGCTTATCCAGAGTATCCCACTACTTTAACGTAAGGTAGCATAGGTAATAGAGGACCAGGGGACATTTGAAAAAGCCTCTAACGTGAAAAAATGAATACAAAACAAACTGATTAAAGGAAACTTACGGTTACAAATATAATGCAAAGAAAGAAAAATATTTTCAGAAGTACTGTAGGTAATAGATTTAGTGAGATAAGATAGCAAATCCATGAAATAATTGCCAGTATATAAAAGGACAATTCAAGAATAAGAAATTAGAATTATAAGGTATAAAAATGTAATTGAAATCCTAAACAAAAATCAGCAGAAGAATGGAAGATATAAGTGATAAAATTTCCCAGAAAGTTGAACAACAACAAAAAAATTAGAAAATAAGAAAACAGAAGAAAATCAGAGGACCAATTCAGAGAAGGTTCTAATACTATTAAGAACCCTAGAATGAGAAAACAGAAAATGAACAAAGAAACACAAAAAAGAAAAGTTCTGAGAACTGAAGGACCCAAGTTTCCAAATTAAAATGTTTTCCCAGATAGTGATTTTAAAAAGACCCAAACCAAGGCTCTTTATTCATCTAGTGCTGCTATAACAGAAATACCACAAGTGAGTGGCTTTAACAAACAGGAATGTTTTTCTTCATCGTTAGAAAGGCCAGAAGTCTGAGTTCAGGTACCAGCTGTAGAAGGTTCTCTTGCCCTGTCAACTCTAGAGGAAGGTCCTTGTCGCTTGAGCTTCTACTCCTGGGTGATCTTCATGTGGCTCTCTGTTTCTCTCACTTGCTTGTTTAATCTCTTTTATACCTCCAAAGAGATCCACTCAAAACATACCCTACACTAGTCCTGCCTCATTAACATAACAAAGACAACTCATTGTAACTGTAAGCTGCTGTTGCTGCTACATGTCTTTGAGCCATTTCCAACTCATACCCACCCTGTGTACTGTTGCCGAGGCTCTAAATCCTTACAGGAACAGAGAGCCTCATCTTTGTGCTGAAAGCAGAGGTTAGGAATTACAACACATATTTTGGGAGAACACAATTCAATCTACAACACCAAGCCACATCATTATCAGATTTTAGAACAGTACATATAAAGAAGAGATCCTAAATACTTCCAAAACAAACAAATAAACACACCTATACATAAAGAATCAAATATGAGAACAACTTTTCAGTAGTAATATTGAAAGCTTTAAAACAATGGAGTAATGCCTTCAAAAGTCAGAGAGAAAGTTGATTCAGACTTAGAATTTTATGCCAGCTGTGCTGTCATCCTGGTGTGCCATGTGGGTTAATGCACTGGACTGCAAATTCGGTTTGAAACGCAAGGTCAGTGGTTAAAGCTAACCACCTGCTCCTTGGAAACAATATACAGGGTCACTATGGGTCAGAACCTATTCAACGGCACTTAACAACAACATACTGTCATCAAGTGTGATGTTGAATTATAACATATATAAGGTTTGGGGCAAAGAACAAGATTCTGGGAGTTGATAGAATCCAAATTGAAATCTTAAAAAAAATAAATAACTGATGCAGCATTGGAGGCACTATGCCAAGATATTTGGAAGACAATTACCTGGCCGTCTGACTGGAAAAGATCCATATTTGTGCCCATTCCAAAGAGATGTGACCCAACGGGATGCGGAAATCATCAGACAATATCATTAATATCCCATGCAAGCATAAGTTTGCTAAAAAGAACACAAAAACAGCTGCAACCATACATTGACAGAGAACTTCCAGAGGTTCAAGCCAGATTCAGAAGAGGACATGGAATGAGGGATATCATTGCTGATGCCAGATGGATCTTGGCTGAAAGTGAAAAATACAAGGAAGATATTTACCTGCATTTTATTGACTATGCAAAGGCTTTCAGTTGTGTGCATCATGACAAGCTATGGATAGCATTGAGGAGAATGAGTATTCTGGAACACCTAATTGTGCTCATGAGGAACCTATACACAGACTAACAGGTCCTTTGTTCATAAAGAACAAAGGAACACTGAATGGTTCAAAATCAGGAAAGGTGTGGGCCAGGGTTGTATTCTTTAACCACACTCATTCAATCTGTATGCTCAGCAAATAATCCGAGAGGCTAGACTGTATGAAGAAAAACGTAGCATCAGGATGGAGGAAGACTCATCAATAACCCACAATATGCAGATGATACAACCTTGTTTGTTGAAAGAGAAGAGAACTTGAAATACTTATGAAGATCAAAGACCACAGCATTCGGTATGGGTTGCACCTCAGTGTATAGAAAACAAAAATCCTTACCACTAGACCAATAAATAACATCAGGATGAATGGAGAAAAAAATTGAAGTTGTCAAAGGCTTCATTCTGCCTGGATCAACCATCAACACTCATGGAAGCAACAGTCTAGAAATCAAATGATGTATTGCATTAGGCAGATCTGCTGCACAAGACCTCTTTAAAATGTTGAAGAGCAAAAATGTCAGTTTGAGGACTAAAGTGCACTTGACCCAAGCCATGGTATTTTCAGTAACCTCATATGCATACAAACGTTGGACAGTGAATAAGAAATATCGTAGAAGAATTGATGCATTTGAACTATGGTGTTGGAGGAGAATATGAAAAGTACCATGGGCTACCAAAATAGCAAACCGATCTGTGTTGAAGGAAGTACAGCCAGAATGCTCCTTGGAAGCTTAGGATGGCCAGACTTCGTCTCTCATACTTAGGACGTATTGTCAGAAGGGACCAGTCCCTGAAGGAGGTTATCATGTTTGGTAAAATGGAGGGTCAGAGAACTAGAAGAAGACCTCCAATGAGATGGATTGGCACCGTGGCAGCAGTGCTGGGGTCAAATATAGCAACGATTGTGAGGTTGGCACAGGACCAGGCAGTTTTTCATTAGGATCAGTATGAGTTGGTACTGACTTAACAGCACCTAACAACAACCTATCAGTATGGTTTTAGCCCTGTTGTGGCTCTGTGGGTTCATGCACTGGACTGCAAGTTTGGTTTGACGCAGGGTCAGTGGTTCAAGCTCACCTGCCACTCCTTGAAAACCTATGCAGGATTGCTATGAGTAGGAACCAACTCGATGGCACTTAACAACAACAACAGGCATATCATTTTCAGGAAGAGTGATGTATTTCATCAAGAGTAGGGAGTGACCGAAAAAGAGAAAGACATGAAATCTAGGAACTAGGGGATCAGACACAGGCACAGTGCAATGGAATTCCCAGGATGACCTAAAGGGAAGAACAAACAACAAAATAATGACACTTAGTATGTGCCAAGCATTTCTTTACTGGAGAATCTAACCACTGGGAGATTAACTAATTTGCCTATAGTCGTGCAGCTAGCAAGTAGAGGAGCCAGGATTAAAACCCAGGCAGCCTGGCAACAGGAATACATGTCTTTACAAATTTGATAACTGGAACCTCCTAAAAATTAAGTACCTATGCTTATCAAAGGAGTCCTGGTGTGGCGCTGTGGGTTAATGCGCCAGACGGCAAAGCCATTTGAACTGTAAGGTTGGTGGTTCAAGCTCACCAGCTCCTCCTCGGAAACCCTACACAGGGTTGCTATGGGTTGGAACAAGCTCAGCAGCACTTAACAACAACATGCTTATCAAAAGACTTTACCAAAAGAGTGAAATGAGGCTCTGTAGACTGGGAAAAAAAAACCTTTGGCAATAACATGTCTGATAAGAGTCTAATCTCTAAAATATATGGAAAATTGCAATAACTTAACAACAAAAGCAATACAATGAAGAAATAGGCAAAGGACGTAAACACTTCAGCAAAGAGGACACTCAGG